CTGTGATTGGGTTAATAAAGAAGCTGCCTGACCAATAGCTGAAGAGGTAGAATCTAGTTGGAACTTGCAGAAAAAAGAGAGCATGATGAAGTGGAGGAGTGTCTTGGAATTGCAAGGAGATGCAGAGTGAAGGAGATGAACTTGCCGTATTGAGAAAAGGTACCAAGCCACGTGGCAGAGTATAGATAAGAAATATAGGTTAATTTGAAATATAAGAGTTAGCTAGTAACAAGCCTGAGGTTTTGGCCAATCATTTACAATTAATATAAGCCTCTGTTGTTATTTGGGAGCAGCTGTTGAGACACAGTAAAACTCTGCCTACAACAACTAACAACTCTTAACAATGTTAGGAGGGTGACTGATCCACATTATCATGGGGAAATTGGATTGCCTCTCCACAATGTGGATTAGAGGGATTGTGTCTGCAGTGCAGGGGAGCCTTTAGGGCATTTCTTAGTGCTACCATGTCCTGTGAATAAAGTCAATGGGAAACAACAACAGCCTAATCCAGGAAGGATGACAAAGGGCACAAACACATCAGGAATGAAGGAATAAGTCACTTTCCAGGAAAGGAGCCAAGACCTGCTGAGGGTGGAGGAAATACAGAATGGGTAGTATAGAAAGATAGTTATAAATACTTATTAAGGCTTTGTGGTCAGTAACAGAAGGGAAGATTAAAGGTGACATTAGTGTTTCTATTGTATTTTCCTAAGACTGTTTTTGTACAGATATTTGTGTTTTCTTTCAATTTCTTTATCAAGTGATGTAACATCAATTAAGAGAATATCAATGGTTATCATATCTAAATTCGAGATACTAAAGTCCTGTCCACAAGAGACATTGACACCTATTCTAAATTTCAAAAGTGTTAGCTGTTGTATGACAGTGAGTTATATCATGTTAGGTGTAATTATGACATGGTTAAATACATAATGCATTTGCAATTGGATTGGTTATATTTATATTAGGTTTGGCTGTTATTATGACCTGTTTATTGTCTTCAATTGGAAATTAATCATAAATAAGGAGATATGATTGTGTGTCAAGTTGACAAGGGATGATGGACTTGTGATGGCTACTCTTGCTTGTCTAATTTACTACATCTGGAATGAACTACAATCCAGAAATATAGGGCACACCTGTGAGAGATTATTTTTGCTTGGTTTGAACTGTGTGAACCCACTATTAGTTCAGATCTTTGAGGTAGGAAGACGAATGCCTTTAATCCATATCTTGAGGTGGGAGGACACAGGTGTGTGAAAAGGATCATGAGGCAGGAAGATACAACTTTATTCTAGGCCACACCTTCTGCTGGAAGTCTATAAATGACATGGAAGAATGAAGCTTTTGCTCCTTGTCTGCTTACTCTGGCCTTGTTAGCACATTCATTCCTTCACTGGTATTTGAGCCCACTTCTTTGGGATTCCAGCATTTACTAAAGACCAGCTGAGACACCCAGCCTTGTGGACTGACTTCTAGATTCTTGTGCTTTCTGTTCACAGCTAGCCATTGGGGAGAGAGAGAGAGAGAGAGAGAGAGAGAGAGAGAGAGAGAGAGAGAGATTCTATCAGTTCTGTTGCTCTAGAGAACCGTAACTAATACACAGGTAGGCACAATCTCTCCATAAACTTGCTGATCCTCTGGCTCTTACAACCTTTATACTCACTTCTTCAAAAATTTTCCTTGAGCCTTATATTTCGGAGTGTTTTATATATGTATCCGTTTGGCCTGGCAACTACAACTCTGCATTTTGATTAGTTGTGGTTTATTTGTAGTGTTCTCTGTCTGTTGCAAAGAGAAGTTCCCTTGACAACAGGTGAAGACTAGACTTATCTGTGGGTATAAGGAAAATGTTTAGATTTTTGTTAGGGATTATGATGGTTTATTAAAGTGGTGGTTGTTGGTTCCCCATCAAGATTCATGACTTTACCTGAACTGAGTAGTTAGCCTAATTTCCAGTGCCAGTCATGGTTTCTCTTTTGTTAACAATTTCTTAAGTCCAATTTGAGAGCTGTTGGTTACCAGCAAGGAATGCTTGGCCGTACTGCACTCAGGGTTATTGTACCGTGATGATCACTGGTGTGTTTCATAGGTTATTTGTAGGTGGAAGTTTCTGTTCTGCCAGCAACTCCCAAATACCCAGCAGCTGCTTCCCAAATTACCACACAGAAGCTTATGTTAATTTTAACTGACTGGCAATTAGCTCAGGCTTATTATTGACTAGCTCTTACACTTAAATTAACCCATAATTCTAATCTATGTTTAGCCACATGGCTTAGTGCCTTTTCTCAGTTTGGCATTCTCATCTTGCTTCCTCTGCATCTGACTGGTGACTCCTGACTCCGCCCTTCCTCTTCCCAGCATTCTTAGTCTGGTCACACCACCTATACTTCCTGCCTGGCTACTGGCCAATTAGTGTTTTATTAAACCAAATTGAGTGACAAATCTTTACAGTGTACAAGAGCTTTATCCCACAGCATTTCCCCTTTGTGGTTTAATTAAAAAGGAAAGTTTTAACATTAATATAGTAAAACAAAAACAATTATTAAGTAAGAATTATAGCAGCAATATACAATCCATTTGCATTTGCATAAGAAAATACCTAATTATCTACCTTACCTTGGTGAATCTAAAGTTTTGTATCTAATTTTCTTTTATTATAACTAAAGAAAACTATAACTATCTAGTCTTCAACTCCATCAAAGACTCCAGAAGGATGTAATGTTACCTAATGACAGAGACATCAGGCTGCCTGGACACTCACCCAAAGTTCCTCTGCAACATTGGGGCATCCAACTTTGGCCTACAGGCCTAGCATATCTTACACACTTATCTGTAAAGCAGGATGTTTGAAGGACTGTCCCAACTTCTCTTGGCAAAGTTCTTTAGTCATTTTCTTCTGTGTCCTGCTTGTTCAATTTGCACAGCAGGCCCCTTCTCCCTGCTCCTTATAAGAGGTCACATACGATGGCAGGAAGCACTGCCTCCTTTGGGGCTTATAGCCCAAGCTCATGAGTGGAGCAAATACTACTACAGGCATCATATCTAGATAAGACTGGTCATTGGCTTCCACTTTTGGAAGCTTGAATGGTGCTTCTGGTACCATGAAAGCTATTCTTCAGGGTGAAGTTTTCTTTGTTTTGAGACAAGGACTCTCTGTTTATTAACAGTTGTCTTAGACTCAATATGTAGACCAGACCGGCCATGACCTCACAGTTTCTCTTGCCCCTGCCCGCTGAGTGCTGGGACTAAAGGCTTGCATAACCTTGTGAACTAGACATAACTTTATATTATCATGTCATAACAGCTGACTTGATAGACATGAGTAAACAAGTGGATCTTATTTCTACTGATAATAAAGACCTCTAATCCACTGGATTGGAAACTCTAAATGAAATAGACGAGTTTCCAGATTCACATAACATGTGAAATTTAAACACATGAAATAAATATGTAAACACAAGCAGCAATGAGACTGAAGCAGTAATAAAATGACCCCCCATGCAACTCCCCAAACAACACCATGACATGATTGACATGATTCTATCAGAACTTCAAGGAAGAACAGCAAAGCTATATAAATACTTGAAACAAAAAGGAAGACATCCTGACTCTCAGTATAACCTGATATTAAACCAGATACTGATACAATAAAAAAGAAATGAAAAACAGCTGTGCTCATTTAAAAAATTCTGTAATTGGTTCTCTCTCCATTTGGTTGTATAATCAAGACACAGTGTATGTAGATAAGTGTGTGTGTGTGTGTGTGTGTGTGCCTCAAATATTGTCCATTCTCACTTCCTACCTATCTACTATCCTGGCCCACAATTTCAACAAATCTCTGTTGTGTTCATCTCCATTCAATTTGCTTGGTACCCACTGAGATTAACCAGGGCCACACTGAGACTGTGGGTTTGGAGCTATGTGTTGGAGCCTGGTGGGCTGAGCAGAGAACTACAATCCAGGGCATATCCTACAACGCATCCATAGACAACATTTGAGAAGTAAAGGGTGGGCCCTGAGAGCCTTTTCCTTTCCTAGACTGATTGTGGTCTAGTGTGAGGTCCATGCAGGTAAGTACAGCTGCTGTTGGTTACTGATTACAACAGCTGTGTGGAGTCTAGAGAACGGCATGTCTTAGCCCTTCCTCCTCTTTCCCTACTTATTCCCTTCTTCCTCCTCTTCCTCAGTGTTCCAGGAGCCATAGATGGGAAGGTGTAACTGATATTTTCAGGACTGGGACTACACACCTTACTCATTTTCTGCATTTGAGACAGCCAAGGGTCTCTGCATTCACCACTGCATTAAAATTTTTTTTTTTTGCCTATACTTTATCTAAAAGCATCTTTAGCAGGAGTCACAACACAAACACTTGTTCGATAGTAAAACGACAAGACCACCATCTAGTGGTGAGAGCAATAGAGCGCGGGATGAACTCAGCCCTGGGCTCTTAAAAGTGGGCTTGACCACTGACTTCTTGAGACACCTATTTCTTTTTCAAAATCCAAGTTCCTGAAATGTCTCTTCGCAAGTTACAATTGCAGTATTTGGTTTTGGCTTGTCATGTGTGTGTTAACGGTGAGACGCTGGCATCTGAACTTAGCGTGTTATCGTTTGGTGTAAGTATGTAGCCAGGGAGGCTGGTAGTCAAGTCGAGATTTGGTTGCCTGTCTTTTATCTGAAGGTTTCAGAACCCAGGCTGGTGGTCAGATTTCGGGGTGCAGCGTCCTCCTAGACCCAGTTCTGGTCCAGGCTGGCAGCAAGCATGTGGGGAGGCTGTGCAGAGGGGGTCCAGGGCAGCCTGACAGCTGGAGCTGTGTGGAAGGCAGCCTGAGACCGAGCGGGAGGGACGGGTCCCCGATGGGGCGGGGCCACCTGTCAATCAGAGGAGATTAGGGAAAAGAATCAGTGGAGTGGTCTTGGGAAACTAACTAAAAAAAAAAAAAAAAAGAGCCCGGGGTGGGCGGTTTTGCAGCAGCTCCTTGACCGGAAGTGGATTTTGTAGTGGGAGGGTCCAGGAGGAGTCTGTTCAAGGAACCAGGCTGAAGTTACAGGAAATCCCACCATTCCCTGTCGGACGTCAGGATCTTTGGTGTCAGAACTGGGTGAGGAAGACCCGGCCGGGTATTCGGGGACCTGAAATCTCCGCGGAGCCGCAGTCGCCGCGCGGGGCGGCCTGGGAAAGTCACCAGTCAGCAGCGCAGTGGCGGGAACCGCAGCCCGGCGGCCCTGGAACCTCCCAGGTCAGAGGAGCTGCGGGGCTGGGACACGGGAGGGGAGGGACCAGGGGAGCGAGCAGTTTCTCTGCTGTTCATAAGGAAGCCGGCTCTGAAGTTCTGCTGTGGATATCTTTCCCTTGGTGTATTTTAGATCATATGGAATAAGATGATTTTTTTCAGTTGCTCTTCTGATTGCCAAAATATTCTTGTAAGAATAATATCAAATATTTGAATTTACCTGTTGAGATGTGCAAGCACATTCTCTTTGCTATGGTTGAAACGACAAAGCTCTTGAATTTACCATCAATACAAACTTCCTTATTATACCGCTTCCGTATTTAAGAGAGTGGCGTATTTACCTGGAGACTTGGATTCGCGAGAGCTTTTAGATTATAGTCATGAAAGGAAAGCCTGCAAATTTCATTGAACCTGAAAGTATATTATTTTGCGAGTTCCACAGTTTACTTGTAAACACTGACTTTTAAAAGTAAACTTTTATCCACCTTTAATCTTCCATCCGGGACACATGCCCACTGGGATGTAAATACAGCATACTGAATTGTCTTTGCCAGGCCTGGTGGCACAGGCCTTTAATCCCAACATTCAGAAGGCAGAGGCAGGTGGACTGCAGATGTTGGAGGCTGGCAGGGGATAAATAGTGACTTAATGAACAACCAGAACTACGCAGGAAAACTCTGCTTCAGGCGAAAACAGAAAAGGAAAAAATAAATTTAAATGCATTATAGTATAGAATGATATTAGAAAGCATCTTTTGAATAATTATGATAATTCACCTATATAAAAAAGTCTATAGTAGTCTTTTGTCTGTTATGCTCAGGTCATGGGGACCCCCAAAAGACCACCACGGAAACCTAATCCCATATGTAGAAGCAAAGAACCTTTATTTTCAAGCTCTGAGCTTGGTCTCTCTGTCTGTCCAATGCAGCCATGAGAGCAGAGAGCCTTGAGCCCAGGCAGGGTAGAGTTTTTAATCATAGCAGAGGTTGGGATGAAGAGATTTCCACGGTTCAGCACCCTGATTGGCTGACATTTGTCTAGGGGTATCTGTGAAACAGAATATAGGTGTGTGCTAGACTCGGACATCTGGCCACCTTATCTAACCTATTTAATGGTTGGAATGTTTGGGGTGTCCTTAGATGTAGGCCCTCCCTAGGTGGGGTACAGGGTGTTTACCCACCAACCCTGCAGTTCCCCAAAGTTTTCTTGAGTGAGAGAAGCAGGAAATACTAGATAGAAGGATTTAGGTTGTGGAGATAAAAAGACAGAAAATAGAGGATAGCCTTGAGAGAGCTTGGAACCTATTCCAACGGGCCCTGGTTGTCTCTGCCCTAAGATATTTATAGAAACACCAAGGGGTGGAGCAAAAGACCTCCCCTCAGCACAGCCAAGTGCAGAACGTCTCAGACACCTGCACTCAGGGCTAGTGGTCCAATCATCCTCTCTATGCGGACCTGCTGGGTAAAGCCACGAGGAACCTGAAAACCGGCTCCCACAGTGGGGTCAACTTATGGCTTTTCCTGGGTCTGGGTGTTGCCTGCCAGTAAGCCTGTACAGAAGCTGTGTCTGGGCCTCTAAGCATGTCATGGCAGCTGTGTGGTCAAGCTGTTTTAGCCCCCCTACAGGCTCCTTGGACCAAGAAAACACCCTGTCCATGGACACATGACCAAACTGTTATTTTTTTTTGGTTCTGGTTTTGCTGTGTTTGAGGCCTGAACTCACAGTGTTGCTCTGTCTGGCCCAGAACTCACTATGTAGACCAGGCTAGACTGGAAAACAGAGTTCCACTCACCTGTTTCTTCCAAGTGCTAGGATTAAAGGTGTGCACCAACAGGGCAAGTCAAACTGTTGTTTTTCACTTTGTGGTCTGTTGACAGCCAGTGGTGTGGCTTTTGACTACTCCCAAGTGGAGTGGCATGGACCCTGCCCTGAGGGCTTTGTGCTGGGACTATGTTGTAGTGTTGTAGGAATTTAGCAAAGTCACTGTTTCTTGGATAAACATTAAATTGAACAACCATTTTTTTTGGAAGTACTTTGACCTTAAAGAATCCTTGTGGAAACAGTGAATGTATCCTGTGATCTGTAGAATTGTTTTTACTGAAGGGGCATTGTAGCCATCCTGAGACTTTGGTCACAAGATGCCTCAGGCACACCTATTGCAAAGGACACATAATAAAGGACTAAAGTCATGGGGGCATGTAATGCTTTCCTTTAGTGAGACATGTAAATGAGATAAGGAAGCTTGGTTTGAAGAAATACTTAGTATTTTCAATAAATACACCTTTGTAGGGGTGCTCCGAATTCAGTTCATCAGAGTCTGTACCTTCCTACGGTCACATAGCCCTTAAAATTTCATCATCTTGGAGTGGCCTCTTTCTTCAACCAACCCCAGCTACACTGTACACCTGACATTGCAGAATTACAGCAGTATACCTGGACAGTGGTAGGGCATGACTCTAATTGCAGCACACAGGAGGAAAAGGTAAGTGGATCTCTGTGAGTTAAAGGCCCACTTGGTCTACTGAGCTAGTTCGAGGACAACTAGGGCTGATACACAAAGAAACCATGTCTCATAAAAAACAATAACAAAAAAGAAAAAGAAAAAAATTGCAACAGTATGGATTTTGTGGCTGAGAATTGTTTGCTTGCAGTCTCCCTTTCTCCTCGGTATCTCTTGACAAACTAATCTGCCAGTGTGTGTGGTTTCTGTGAATGAGTCTCACATCCCACAGAATAAAATGAAATCCTCAAAGGAAAAAAGAACATTTTCATGAAATGTTCTCTCTTCTTCCAGTGTGTCCCTTTGCGAGGTGTAGGGCTTCATCATTATTGGTCCATGATCAATTCAGAACCTCACTAGTGTATAATTTTCTCTTCCCAATCATTCAGTTCCTTTTCTGCCCTTGAGTTTTGACTGAGCTATGATTGGAAGTGGGGATTCAAGTTACAATAACTAAAAATGCTTTCTAATTGTTTTCAGTATTCTGATCCTGCAGGACAGTTGGGGAATCGTTTTATAATCCTGTATTTAGTTTTCTCTTCATCTCCTGAGCACAGTCCTGTGTTAGATATACCCATGTTTACCGAAAAATCTCTTTCTCATGTGCAGGGCTAACTGACCACCCAGACCTGCTCACGTGCAGCAGAACAAAGTGGCTTGGAAGATGGAGATTGAGGAGACAGTAGCTAAGGATCCAGGTATGGTGGAGACACTGGTGAAGGGGTGGAAAGGGGATCAAGTGAATGTGGAAGTGGGACATGAAATCAGTTTGCCACATTCTGTTTCACTAGAAATAATTCTGGAGACTTCCACTGAGAAAAATCTCAGGATTACCCTAATGTATTCATGAGAAGGCTTTCTACAGAAGAATTGATAATGGAGTCAAATAAAATTTTATTTGACTATATATGTGAGTGCTTCTATCCTTATTCATTCACATCATGGATCATGTTTTCATACCATTATTAACTCATTTTCATTTCTTTGATTTTAATGTATTATGAAAATGATGAAGATTAATATCTCTAGGTTTATTTACTGTTTTCAAAATTTTAGAGCATTGGTTTTCTAGCACATTCTCTACCTTTTTTTTTAATGTCTCTGTACTTGAAAATAATGCCAACAGAGTTTTTATAAGAACCAGAAACTATATTTACACCTTGCTACACTCTATCTATACTGTCTCCTATTGCCTGTTGGAAATTAGGATAAATATTTAGATTGCACTAGGAGTTATGCTGATTTAGTAAAATACTGGTTGTAGGTTCTCCTCCAAGTTCCATACCTTTACTAGCCCTGGGGAAACAGGCCACGCTTCCAGTACAGGGATGCCTTCCCTCTTGTTGAGAGGGTCTTAATCCAATTAGAAGCTGTTATTACAACATAATTATGTGTGACACTCTTGTGCCCTTAGGACTATCATGCAGTGCAGATCATTGTTGTGGTTCATAGGTGTCATAACTGGGCAGGACAGTTAGTTGGCTCCCGCCTTGGGAAGGTTACATGTGGCCTTCTGATACCATGAAAGCTAGTCCCTAGGGAGGAGGCTTTAAGGTCAGTTCCATCTCCAGTTCTCTAGGATTTGTCTGAAGTGTGTGGCTTCTTCAACACTAGGAACTCAACTTCTGTCTCTAGTAGGCAACCGTGGGCAACAGCAGTACCCTGCAATGTTTGGAAGTCTCTTGGACAACTGTGACCAACAACTTCAAAGCAGGCTTTTTACACCTAGTGTCGGTCATTTTGTTAGAAATTCTTTGACTCTTGTGAGGAGCATCATCAGTGCAGTTGGGAAATTTTCATTTACACTCGAAATGTATATGCTTACAGAGACTTTTATGTAGTATAGGAGTTTTTTTTGATGGATGGATAATAGTCAAGGAATAGATGGATTTCTTATGAATTTTTCAGACATCCTTACAGTTCTTTTACCCTCCGTCTTCTGTTTATTTCTGTCCCTTCTCCATAGTTAAATCCTCATCCTCTCCCCTTTTTTTTCCATTTCCCCCTTCAGATCACTTGGTCCCTGTTACTCCATCTCTATTACTCCCCCACACCCCACAGTGATCTCTTCTTACTTTTCTTGTCACTGCAGTCACTACAGGTTGTGTACTCACATCTGAAGATTTGGAACTAAGAACTTCCTATAAGAGAGAACATGCAATATCTGTCTTTCTGGGTCCAGGTTACCTCACTCAATATGATCTTTTCTAAGTCCATCCATTTAGCTGCAAAGCTCATTATTTCAATTTTCTTTACATGAATAGTATTCCATAATGTATATGTATCACAGTTTCATTATCCAATTGTCAGCTGAAGGACATTTAGCTTGTTTCCATTTTGTAAATGTTGTGAGTAGAACAGCAATGAAATTGGGTGAGCAAGTGTCTATGGAGTAGGATGTTGAGTCCCTTGAGCTTATACGAAGGAAAGGAACAGCAGAGTCATGTGCTGAATTTATTTAACTTCAGGGTTTGTTTAATTAGTTGAGGATTCTTTATTTTTATTTTTAGCGTGGCTATTTTTTTTATGGCATTTTTATTTCCTATGGTTTTGTTTATGGTGTTGCTGGTCGGATTATTGGTAGTATTCTTCTTCCTCCTTTTTGAGAAAGTGGTTTGTTGTCTTGCTCATGGATGATTACTTCCAAAGTCTCCTGTATTTCTCTATTCTTCACATGAAAGTTATTATTGCTCCTGTTCTCATGAATGATTCTCTGACTCTCCTGTGTAAATTTTGCCTCTAATTTATTACCTGAGTGCTGCTTTAGTGAAATCAATTGTGATAATTGGTGACTATCTTGAAATGCACTTATGTCTCCATCAATTTTAAGAGAGTAGTTTTCTTTGTGCTACAGGATACTTGATGGTGATTTTCTCTTCAAGCTTCAACTGTCTTTTCATGCTGTCCTGTCTTTGGGATCATTGACTAGACACCTGGTAGAATTCTATTGCTTGGGTCTTTCCATGTGGTTTGACATTGTTCTCTAACAGCTTTTAGTATTAATTTTAACCCTTTCATTTTGACCCCTTGATTTGAAAGGGAAGTGTCCATCTATTCATTTTTCCTGAAAGAGAAACTCAAAGAAGAGAAACCGTAAGAAATGGCTGATTCTCCAGTAAACATGTTGCAGGTCAGTGGTCCTTTCCACTCTTTTTCCTAAAATGTTATACTTTGATGTATTAAAGCCTTTAATTTACTGCTTCTGATAATTTTTTGAAATTTTATTATGAGCAATTCTTCAAACAGAGAAACAACAAAATCACATGCCGAAATTAAGCAGACCCAATGACTATACAGCTTTTATATAGTTAGAGTCATCATAGGGAACAGAAGTTCTGGAACCTCACATGGGATTTTTATATTTTCACAATCAAATATATTTTGATTTCCTTATCTACTACCAAAACCCCAAAAACCTTTGACAGAATTAGAACTAGAAAAGCACTTAGCTTTATATCCTTTTTCATAACTGGTGTTCATTACCTGCATTCAGACCCTGATAATTTAACTTTTCCTGTTCTCTTTTCTTCATGTTATACTGTGTCCACATATACATTGTTTCTATATATATATATATATTATTGGGTAGATTCTGCATATGAGCGAAAACGTGTCTTCTTTCTAAAAGTGTATGACTGCACTTAATATTACATATTTTACATATTTTGTGTCCCTTCATTTTCCTGAAAATGTTTATTTTTCTCTATAGATGAATTGTCCTCCATTTTATACAATTTTCATTATCCATCTTTTGATAGATAATGAGGTTAATTCCAATACCATTCCTTTGGTGATTAAAACAACAGTAAGCATGGGTTATAAATATCTCTGTAGTGGGGTGTGTTGTTCTCTGAGTAAATGGCCAGGAGTGAAAGAACTGGGTCATATGTAAGTTCTCTCTTTAGTTTTTTCAATAATCTCCAAACTGATTCCCACTATGGCTGTATTCATTTGCACCCTCCTCTCCATCAACACTGCATAAGTTTTCCTTTCTCTCCATATCCCCTCAAACATTTTTTTGTCAGGTTAGTTGGTGATAGCCATTCGGTTTGGGATGAGGCAGTATTTCTAAGAAGTTTTAATTTGTGCTCCCATGGTGGCCTTTTGGGATCCTGAATGCTTTTGCAATGTTTGTTGGCCATTTGAGTTTCTGTCCTTGAAAAGTGTCTATTTAGTTCATTGTTCATTTGTTGATTTGCCATTTTATTTCCTTGGTATTTAATTAATGTAATTTTTGTAAATTCTTGCAATGTGCCTTATCTAAAATGTCACTGGTACATATTCTCTTAGCTATACATTAAACATTTTTTGGTGTGTTTTTGGACTTCTCTCAATTTTTATTACTCTTTGGGAGTGAAGTGAAATATTTTTCCAAATTTCTGAAATTGTTATTTGTCTCTGTTGGCTTATGCATTATCTTAGGGAAATTTTGAGTTATATCAAATATGCCTGATGCAGATTTTTTTCTGTCTGTTCGTAGTGACCCACATATTCTCATAAAATTAATTGCTATACTTCTTATCTTAGGTGTTAATGTTAAAATGACAGTATGTAGTGCTGTTACAATCTTTGCTACTGTGGAAAAAAACCAAAACTCTTTATCTACAAAATCAGTCATACATTGTATCTTCTGTACCTACCCCTGTGCTATTTAACAGTTTAACATCCCAACTAAGCCTGTTGGAATAGAGTTATGTAAGGCCCCAGTTCACACAGGATTGATTTACATCAGTGTTTCAGCATGATCTACAGCATTTAAAGCTCATTCCTCATTGTGAATTTTCCTTCTGAGACATGTGTAATATGTTTAACATTAACCATAATGTTTTTCTTATTTCATGAATACTGCATGTAAGACTGTTGTTCTTTAATCCTGTTTTCACAGAGTGAGAATATTCATGAGAGAATATGACCATATTAGAAATCTTCTCTTTGAGTAATTATCTTTGCTCATCTATTTTCCATCTCATTATATCTAGGAAGCACTTCCAAGTAGCACGTGCTGAAACCATATGCTTTTGTTTCAGGGTCTGTTGACATTCAGGGATGTAGCTGTGGACTTCCCCCAGGAGGAGTGGGAATGCCTGGACTCTGCTCAGAAGACTTTGTACATTGATGTGATGTTGGAGAATTACAACAACCTGGTCTTTGTGGGTGAGAACATTTTGCTTGTAGAATTCCTAACCCATCTTTTTTTTTGTTCTGCCTTCACAGGATGTAAAATCTGTTAGGCTGTCCTGAAAAAACCAACAGAAGACAAGGCAAAGTTTAGTGGTAGGAAAGAAGTTTTTTATGCTATTTAGCTTTCTCTTTCCATTTTCTATTTCAGAGGTATCATCCATCCTTTATTTTGGTTCCAAGATTCATCAATAAACTCAGTAGCATATATTTCCACTCATATCTTAAACCTCCATGTCCATTATTGCAATTATATGGTCTTATTTGTGAGACAAATTCAAGATATACAAACTGAAAATGCTAAATATACTTTGGTATTTGACTACAACTATCAATTGAGAAATCTTGCCTAAATTCCTCTGCTTTGTGTTTTCTATTACTGAGTGCAGTACTGTCTTAGACTTCTGTATTCTTTCTAAAAGTTCTATCATGGGTCATGGGCTGCCTCAAAAGAACAGGTGGATTATGTTTGCAAAGTAGGTGTGATACAGAATGAGATTGCCCTTGAATGTGGGAGTAAACAGTAGTCTCTACTAGGGTGGGCTAATGAATCAGCAAGAGAATAGTAAAGACTTCAAGTGAAGGAGAAAGCAAGAATTGAGAATTTTTTTTGCCATATTCTATTCCACTTGAAAGTATTTGTGATCATTTAACTTAGTGTAGTATACTGCCCCAGGATGTATCCTGTCTGTTGAAATAACTGTTAGAAGGCATTGTGTCTTACTAGTCCTGAATGATGGTGATTTAATACTAGTACAAAATGAAATTTTATTTAACTATGCAGAAATCAGATTGGAATAATTTTACAAATTTTAAGTCTAATGTGAGTCCATAAAGTAGAATTATTCAGTAATTGCCATCCTTGTATAAATCTTCATATTATATCCTTCATTTTCTTCCCAGTGGAGAATACACAGACACCCTTCTGGAAAATAATCTCAGGAGTCTGTGTACAGAGTGGACTTGAGAATAACCCTGTGAGGAAAGTTAAGAAACACAGCAGTGTATGAAGCTCGGGCAGTGGAGGATAAAAATAAGCAATAGGTGCCCATGACAGCCCTGCCTCAAACTATCTAGAGCCTCTGATGTCTGGCATAATACTGTCTTTGCATCCTTTACTTTTGAGGAATCTAATGTGTTTTCTTGAGAGAAAAATAAACCCTGTGATGCTTTTAAGAAATTCTTTAATCTTAAAGGAATTGGGTGTTCTGAATAGTTCTCTTCATTGCCTATCACTTAGTAAGTGCAAATAATGTGAACTTGAGATTGGATTAAATTCATCTTCTTCAATTTCTGAGAAGACATATTTAAGATAGAGACATGTATTCTAAATATATCCACTCAGTTAGCTCTATCCCAAAGCTAATTCATAGCCATAAATTATTTTTCCATCCTTTCCCAGTTAGAGATTTTTGATAAAGCTGAGATGTCTGTTAAAATCATTGACACTTAAAGGCTTTCATGCTATTGTTGTGAGCATCCGTACAATTACAGTGAATGAAAAATGTGCACTATTGGGAGCTCTAATCTAAGTATTTCCAGGTTCACTTATCTTAAAAGAGAACTTAGGGAGACAGTCATTTATCACATGCTTATCATTGGAACAAGCCCTGTTAATCTGAATTGTGCTCATTTTCAGAGAACTATTGCAAATGTGATCCTGTCCATCAACATCTGAAGACTGAAATGAAATCTTGTCAGTATAAGGAGCTTGGGAAAGTGCTTCATGACCACTCCAGATATGCACTTTATAAAACATGTAAAACTACAGAAAACTGTAATAACTACACATGTAGTAACAACAAAGATACCTCTACTGACTTATCAAACCTAGATAGACATGAAAGTATGCACACTAGAGAAGAACCTTGCAAATCTGAAGACCATGAGAAATCCTTAAATTTGTGTTCCATCATTACTCAAAATCAGAGACTCTACACTGCAAAGAAGGAGCATAGGCAGGGAGAATATGATGACTATTTTGCCTCTGCATATAGTCTTTTGCAACAAGCAATTCGAGAGACACCACACCAATGTGGGAAATGCAGAAAATGCTTTATGACTGCCTCATACCTCACTGAACATGAGAGAATTCATACTGGAATTAAGCCCTACAAGTGCAATGTTTGTGAAACATCTTTTACCCAGCTTTCAAGTCTTGATATACATCTAAGACTTCATACTGAGGAGCATCCTTACCAATGCAAAGAATGTGGAGCATCATTTCATCAGTTGTCAGCATTTCATAGCCATAAGAAGTTGCATAATGGAGAGAAACCTTATAAATATAAGGAATGTGGCAAATCCCTTGCCCACTCTTCCACTCTCAAGAAACATCAGAAAATGCATATTGTTGGGAGAAATTATATTTGTCAAGAATGTGGCAAAGTCTCTCATCATCCTTCACACTTTAAAGATCATTCCAGAGTCCATACTGGAGAGAAGCCTTTCAAATGCAATGAGTGTGACAGAGCCTTTCCCCACTATTCATCATTGAGTAGGCATAGGAAAACTCATTATCCAGAGCAATTAGACAAATGCAAAGAATGTGGTAAGTCCTTTCTTGAATTATCACATCTTAAAACTCATTACAGAATCCATACTGGTGAAAAGCCTTTCAAATGTAAGGTATGTAACAAATCCTTTACCCAGCACTCAACCCTTAAAACACACCAGAGTGTTCACACTGGGGAGAAGCCTTATAAATGTACGGAATGTGACAAGTCTTATACTAGATTCTCATCTCTAAGAGCACATCAGAAAATTCATAATGTAGAGAAACTTCACAAATGCAAAGACTGTGAAATATCCTTTATTGATCTTTCGAGTCTTATAAAACATCTAGGAGTTCATACTGGAGAGAGACCTTACAAATGTAAGGAATGTGACAAATCCTTTACCAGTTTCACAGTTCTTAAAAGACATCAGATAGTTCATACTGGGGAGAAACCTTACAAATGTATGAAATGTGACAAGTCCTTTACCCAGGAGTCAAATCTTAGAAGACATCAGAGAGTTCATACTGGAGAGAGACCTTTAAGTTGTAAAGAATGTGACAAATCTTTTACAAGGTGCTCCTACCTCAGAGCACATGAGAAAATTCATAATGGAGAGAAACCATACAAATGCACAGACTGACACATCCTTTATCCTGATTTTGAGTCTTAGAAGACATTAGAAAATTCATACTGGAGAGAAACATATCATTGTAAATAATGTGACATAGCATTTTCCAGTAGTATCTGCTTTCAAATCACAACAGTACATACAATAGAAACATTAAGATCACAAACTTGTGAAAGTTTAATGAAGGTTTAACTCTTAAACAATATCTTAGAGTTTATATTAAAATAAAATTCTGCAAATGTAAGAGTGGGAAAAGCTTTCTATTTCTTTCAATGTGTATACATCCTTTGCCTGCAAGTGTGACTCACAAATATAGAATAAATAGGATATCTTCTTTAATTTTACCAAATACAAATAGACTAGATATTATAACTATAATTCTTGCTTGATAATTGTTTTGTTATATGTAATTTTACTATGTTAAAGTTAAAACCTTCCTTTTTGAAAAAAAGAAAAGGGGAAGTGCTGGGGATGTCTTTCTGTATGCTGTGAATGTGTTGCTCTGATTGATTGATAAATAAAATGCTGATTGGCCAGTAGCCAGACAGGAAGTATAGTATAGGCAGGATAAGCAGAGAGGAGATTTCTGGGAGGAGGAAGGCTAAGTCAGGAGATGCTTCCAGCTGCCACCATGAGAAGCAAGATGTAAAAGTACTGGTAAGCCACAAGCCACATGGCAACTTATAGATTAATAAAAAATGGGTTAATTTAAGATATAAGAACTAGATAGCAACAAGCCTGCCATGGCCATATGGTTTATAAGTGATATAAGTTTCTGTGTGTTTACTTGGGTCTGTGTGGCTGCAGGCCCCGGCAGGACTGGAGAAAACTCCAGCTACAAATTGCGCCAGAATGTGCGGTAAGAGTTTCCACCTAGACCTGAGAAAGAAGATTCTAAAACGGAGCTAAAAACAGCTTCCTAGTTGTCTCTCTCAAGTTAGCAGCAGCCTGCAGGCTTGAACTACTCTATGGTGGGTTCATGGTGTGTGGGCTTCACCTACAGCATGGTGGGAATGAGGTGTCTGCAAGCTACACATTACACTGTGTGATGGATTTAGCCTTTGCTAGTACAGACCAAAAAAAAAAAAAAGGTTTCTGGGCTACATGTTGCTTCGATAGAGGTATAGACCCACTGCTTCTGAGAGTGATGGTATACATGGCTTCAGACCCAGAGCTGGTGAAAAACGTACCACCGCCATGTTGGGAAGCTGAGGTGGGCAGAAAATGCTGCAGTTTAAAGCAATAGATTCACTATAAGACAGATTCAGATGGGATAAACCTCTAAACAGTTTACAATGTGTGCAAAAATGTACGTAGGCTTGAAAGAGAGAGAACTTCTTCCTGTTTAATCTGAGCTTTTATTGTCTTCCTCTTCTGCCTTCTCATTGACTCTAAGCCCTGCCACATGACTTCCTCGTCACTGCCTGTCTATACAGACCTCCAGGTCTCTTGGTTGGTACTGGGATTAAATGCGTTTGACTGTATTCTTGACCACACAGAGACTCTGCTTGCCATGTGGTCGGATTAAGGGCATGTGCTACCACCACCTGACTTATGTTTATGGCTCGCTATAACCTCTGATCTTCAGGCAAACTTATTTATTAACATACAAATAAAATATCACCACATAAAGGAGACCCAATTTCAGCATTTCATTATAATGTTACAGAATAACAGCCTAATACTTTCAAACAGCCAACCTTAATTTATCCAGTAACCTTATAGGAACTGCCAAATGATAGATATCCCCAAGTCTGTGTAAGAGCTGAATAGACACCTGTGCAAATGTTAGATTTGAGGAGATTCAAGAAAGCAATAGTCTCATATGGTACTCACTCACTATTTGTGAAACAGATTTTAAACTCATGGTCAACTTGTAATAGAACTATCCCTCAACACTCAAGAGATTGATTTATTACAGCACTGGAATACCAAGATTAACATTCCTCCAATCTCAGAAACAAACATGTTTCTGGGAAAAATGTTAGAAGGTATTGTAAAGAATAGTCATTGACCATTCAGGTTGTACAAGAAAAAGGCACAACAGCTGTTGGTCTTTCAAGGACATCAATAGCCCTACCTTTAAAGTGGTTAACAGTTAAGCCTGTATGGGTTGAGCAATGGCCTTTAACAACAGAGAAACTGCAGGCCTTAGAAGAGGTGGTACAGGAGCAGTTGAATGCTCAGCATATTGAAGAATCAACCAGCCTTAGGAATTCTCCTGTATTTGTTATTAAAAAGAAATCTGGAAAATGGGGAATGGTAACAGATCTAAGAGCTGTTATCAAGGTGATACAGTCAATGGGCTCTCAACAGTTTGGAATTCTTTTACTTTCTCTGTTATCTAAAGAATGGTGTCTTATAGTTATCGATTTAAAAGAGTGCTTTATTATCTTCACAAGGAAAAGAGAAAAATTAGCTTTCATGGTACCTACTTATAATAATTCATAGCCCATTAAGAGATATCAATTGAAGGCACTCTCAAAGGAAAAGTTTAATAGCCCAACCCTGTGCCAACATTTTGTATGACATCCATTAGAAGTAATTTGTAAGCAATTTCCTCAATCTATAGTTTACCATTACATGGATGACATTTTATTAGCTGATTCAAATATAGGTACTTTAGAAAAATGTTTGAAGAAGCAAAGCAAAATTTACCTTGTTGAGGATTACAAATTGCTCCTAAAAGAATACAAAGAGGAGATTCTATTAATTATCTTGGATATAAAATAGGTTTACAAAAATTAGACCCCAAAAGGTATAAAAAAAAGTAGAGATTGATTGCAGACACTTGATGACTTTCAAACATAGCTAGGACACATTTCTTATCTATGGCCCACTATTGGGGTAAAAAATAATGAACTGAGTAATTTGTTCAAAGCTTTAGATGGTGACAAGGACTTAAACAGTCCAAGAGAATTATCAGCTGAAGCTGAGAGAGAATTGGCTTTGGTTTAAAAGAAAATACAAGATGCAGATTTGGATTGTTTGGACCCAAAGCTTGATTTTATTTTGATTATTTTGACATCTAAGCATTCTCCTACAGGAATATTAATGCAAAGTGAAGATATTATCTTAGAATATATCTTTTTACCACAAAGATTAAAATATTAAAAAATTACATGGAAAATGTTTGTGAATTGATTCTAAATGAAAAATTGAGACTTTTTCAGCTAGCAGGAATAAACCCAGCAGAAATTATGGTATCTTTTACCAATGATGAAATTGACAAATTATGGGCAGAAAGTGAATCTTAGCAAAGAACTTGCTGTAATTTTTTTTGGGAGAAATTAACAACAAATATCCCAAAAGCAATAGAATTCAACTGATAAAGAGAACTAACTAGATCCTGCCTCACATAGTACAGAGAACATGAATATCTGGAGACCCTATATTTTATACTGATGCAAACAAATCAGGCAAGGCAGGTTACAAATGAGAAAATTTAAGTAAAGTGGCTCAAAGTTCTTATAATTATTTCCAAAAGTCAGAATTAGATGCCATTCTGGTGGTATTAATGGATTTTATGGAACCTCTTAACATAGTTACTGACTCTCAGTATGCAGAAAGAGTTGTTTTCTACACTGAAACTGCTGAATGTATTCCTGATGAGTCAGAATTAACTTCATTATTTATTCAGTTACAAGAAATAATCAAAAATAGGAATCAACCCTTATATATAACACATATCAGATGTGCTGACCTCAGAATGGAAACCAGGAAATGTGTTACATTGGGGACAAGGTTTTGCTTTTGTTTCCACAGGAGAGGAAAAGGTATGGATACCATCACAATTGATCAAGGTTCAATTTGAAAGAGGGAGACATTTTAATTAGAAGAGGTTCATCAACCAGCATATGACCATTCAATTTAAATGAACTTATATGACTAACAAATGCTTTTCATTTGATTTTCTGTAACTTGCCAAAAAGGAACACCCCCAAATTTAGGGTTGGGGCAGGGTTTTGTTTTTGTCTTTCAGGAGAATCAAGGCTAAATAATCTGAAGAACACTGCACAAATGAGACATCTGAAGAAAAAGGACAAGTCATCCAGAAAAAATGTCCAAAGAAAGGGAGTAAATTGGTCTATTGGTATATTACATCTAAAACTGGATAAAATTTCATAAATCTTTTTAAATGTTTATTTCTGCTGTTCTCTATAGACACATAACACAAATGGTCTTTATGTAGTCCCAGTTCATTTAAAATTAAACTAGCTTGGGAGTTGGAGTATAGCTCTCTCCTTCTCTAAACCCAAGCATGCTTGTTAAAGTAAAATGCAAAATCTCTGTATTATGTCAGGAGAGCCACCTGGTAGGGAACAGAAGAAAAAACAAAATTAAGGAACTAGTCTATTCCTATTAATCTCATGATCCTATTTTGACACTTTAAAACTTCTTAAGGTATGAGTTTTATATCAAAATTTATATTTGTATATATTAAACTTTTGTCATGATATTAATGGTCATATAGATTACCGCTTCTAGAAAAAAAGTCTTCATCTAGCTTCCTGTACATGATTTTGGGTTTGAGTCTCTATCAGTTTTCTGCAATGAGCCATGACAATGTCTAAAAGTGACCTTGGAAGTCTCCAAAAGGATGATGGAGCCCCATAATGTCAATTACACCAGGACTGTGATAATGCCACCAAGCTGAAAAACACTACCCAAAGATCACTTCTGGACTACAAACTGCACAGGACAATTTTGAGATGGCTAGCTGAATCAATCCAGCCTCACAGACTACTCTAGCCAGGACTTAAGACAAGCCCTGTACTTTCCTATTATGCACAGACTGGACAACAAATGGTACAGCTACCTCTCCACAGACTTGACAGTTAACCCAAAATTTTCTTTCCAGGATCCCCTAAAGATGCTGTCTCCCCCAGACAGCAGGAAGTAAATTTGAGAACACGATGCCCACATTCCCAAGAGGTGGGGTAGGTGGGTTTTGGTCATTTAATGGGCTACGGATAATTGTCCTTCTTTAGGATGTTTGGTTACAAGTTGTTATTGTTAATGGTCAGGAAAAAAGCTAAACTATTGGTGAAATTATTAAGGCCACTCCACGTAGTTAAAAGGAGATTTATTTAATGGCGTAACTTACAAATTAAGGGATAGGTAGGTCGCGGAGTCTGGGGAAGGTGTATCGCAGTCCAGCAGTGTTCTCTGGAGCTCTACTTGGTACACCTCTCCAGTCCAGGGTCCCGCAACAGAGAGCGAGCCCGCCGATCCAGATCTCAGGTCCCCAGGTGCCTCCTTTTGCCCCGCCTTGTAGGCGTGACAGTTGCCGAAGTCTCAATGGGGGTTGGAACTTCCAGATCAAAGCTGGAATGGCTACCCACTACATCTCCCCCTTTTTGTCTAAATAAGAAAGTTCTAACCTAATACAAGACTATATACAAAGGAATGGTTATCAAATATAGTCCAGGAATAATGAGGGATAATGACCTAGATAAGATGGAACTACAACCAATGCAAACAATATCAAGCAAGAAACATATACTATAATCCAGAGAAGTATAGAGCATAGGTAAATGGTATGTTACAAAGATCCTTCCAAAAGGTGTCCTATCCTAAAGAACCTGAATCTAATATTAATATGTTCTATCTACTAAGTTGTAACTATAACTGCTAGTCTTTAATCCCATCAAAGACCTGAGAAGGAATATAATGGTACCTGAGGAATGGTAGATTCTTGTTTTGAAAAGAAAAAAGGAGGATACAGATATAATATAAAAGGGTAGATTATTGAATCTACCCTGAAAAGAAGAAAAAGGAATATAGATATAAGATAAAGTTAGATTATTGAATCTACTTTTAAAAGGCAACAGCTAATTTTAATTATTTTACATTGGATTGAAATTTTGTATATTGTATACAAATTGTGTACATTGACACAAAATTGAGATTATTTTTGTTGGAACATACTGTATGCACATTTCTACTCTTGTTCAAGGTATTGAACCTATACAGTTCATCTAATAATGTAATGTATGTTGCTAGACCTTGAAAGTCATTATTACAAACTAATTAGTATATAAATAAATGCAAGTTACTAGTCTTTATAATCAAACTTATAGTCATATTAGGTATATTATCAAGGTCAAACATAGATATATGTTAGATAGGTCATCTTCAAATATTTCAGCAATCTACAGAATATGGCATTGAAGATATTTTAATAACATAGGTTTTTTTTTTATGACAGTGAGACAAGTCTGCTCCTGGCAGTGCAAATCTACTTCAGAGAAGCTGATGGGCCTTGAAGAAACTCATTATGGAGTTTACTTTCCTTGTGGAAAATCTTAGTCACTGGGCAAGAAAATGTCTTTTCCTTGACTGCTCACAGTATGCTGTCCAAATGGACAAGCAGAACACAAAAAAGAGGCCTTCTGAACCTTGCCAAGACAAAGTAGGAAAGTCCTTCAGAATGTCATGCTTCACAGATAAGTCTTAAGATGTGCTAGACCTGTAGGCTGAAGATGGATGCCGCACTTTGGAGAGGAACCTTGGGGAACAGTCCCAGCAGCCAGCTGTTTCTATCTTTTCTCACATTTTTTGGAAGTCACTTATTTGCCCTTCCTGTTGACTCAGGTAATATTATTTCCTTCTTGGGTCTCTGAGTGAGTTGAAGATTAGATAGTTATAGTTTTCCTTGTTAACAAATTCAGAGAAGAAACACACTAAGGAGGTATAAAGTGTATGTTTCAAAAGATAGTTTGGGGTTGGTAATACAAGTTAGGATAGAAAGTGAATTAGGTACAACATTTTGGACTCACTAAAATAGGATAAATAATGGAGAATTTTCTCTGAATTTGTCAAATTTTTATGGACTGGACATTATTAATGTAATTCTTGACTGTATATATTGTATAACCATTGTACTTATTATATATAGTTTTTCTTATATTAGTTATAATCTTTATTTTAGACAAAAAGGGGAAATGTGGTGATATATTGTTTGTAATCTATGAAATAAATCTTGCCTGAAGATCAGAGGATAGAGCTAGGCACAGAGTGATCTGTAGACGTCAGGCAATGTTGGCACATACCATTGATCCTAGCACTTTGGACTCAGAGAGAGATCAATCTGGATTTCTGTGAGTTAAGGCAACAGTGGGCTACATGAGATTAATCCAGTCTAAAAAAGAAACAGAGGGGCTGAAGAGTTGGCTCAGTGGTTAAGAGCACTGGCTGCTCTTCCTGAGGTCCTGAGTTCAATTCCTAGCAACCACATGGTGGTTCACAACCATCTATAGTGGGATCTGATGCCCTCTTTGGCACAAAGTCATACATGTACATAGAGCACTCATACACATTAAAAAAAATAAATAATTTAAAAAAAAAAAACAGAACTGGGTAGTGGTGGCACACACCTTTAATCCCAGCACTTGGGATCACACACCTTTAATCCTAGCACTAGGAAGATTGAAACAGGAAGTGATATTGATGGGCAGAGAAAGGAATCTAAGGCATGAGGGGACAGGAACTAGCACTCTTTCTAGCTGTGGAGTTGGTGAAGTAAGAGGCTGTCGTTTGCTTTGCTTCTCTGATCTTTAAGCTCTCACCTTGATATCTGGCTCCAGGTTTTTATTATGAGACCAATAAGGATTCTTTCAAGTATAGGGGTATTTTATAAGGCTTCTTCAGAAATCTTTACTCTTGGTTTACACACACACACACTCTTCATCCCTTCTCCTTGCCTTATTCCCAGTTAAACATTTGGCACACATGATCCAATGCCAAATTCTTTTATAACATATGTTCTACTATGCTTTAATTGTATTTTTTATTTGAGTTGCAAAATGATAGGTTCCCATGTACCTTCTTCACAGACATCTCATTTGAGTTGATCTTTCAGCAATCCACTCTCCACTACATATTTCAAAATTCTGCCTCCAGGATTCCTACTCACTAATTTCATATCACCTGTAGTCTACTATCTATCCTCTCTGCCTCCATCTCCCCACTAATGGTCTATTTCTAGATGCCTGGCTTCTACATATAGTCTTACGTGAACACACAAAACAAGTTTGTAGCTTAGACACACAGATGTGAGAGAACATGTGATGTTCTACTTTTGAGGCCTAGGTATCTGAATTCATCATAATTTCCATTTTCTTGCATGTATATCTAGATTTCACACTTTCATTTCATTTACACCTTAATAATATTCTTTGTTATGTAGAAAAGTATCATGTTTTCATTCACCCATGTTTCAGTTCATGGACATCCAAGTTGATTCCATTTCCTAGATACAGTGAATAAAGCATCAATGAACTTGATGGGCAAGTGTTCATTGGTAAAATGGCAAGTCTTTGAATTTCATGCCCAGGAATTGGTATTGTGTATCAGCTTCCTCTGAGAGTAAATATTTCCATCTTGGAAGAATCCCCCCAAAATACAGGGCATGAAAAGAGAGGTAAAATAATGGGATGCTCAAAGGCTGTGGTTCTCAAGCTTGCCAAGCTGCAACACTTGAAACCAGTTTGTTATGTTGTGTATAATCATTTCGTTGTTATACCATAGTAGTAATTTTGCTACTTTTATAAATTATAATGTAAACATCTCATATGCGGGATACCTGATATGAGGCCTGAAATGGATTGTGACACGAGGGTTGAGAGACACTGCTCTAAGGAGAGGTGATACATTCAGTCCTGCAGAGAAGCTTTTAAAGCTCCAGAATAGAAATCTTAATAGTTTTGGGAAGTCACAGAAACTGGCAAGATTCACTAGTGCCCTCCTGCCTCAAACATATATAATCAGTAAGGACTACTGACACTGTCAGACAGCTGAGCTGCACAGAAGATGCTCAGACCAGCCATCAGGCAGTCACCAGTCAAGTTGCATGGCCTAGATATGACAAGCTGACTGGAGGAGTATTGGCTAGAAAGATACTTCCAACCTCCCTTGAGCTGCCTGCAATCTGTGCAGTGATCTCCAGGTTCCTAGATTCATTGCCTTTTCCATATTTGACTGAGGAAAATAATCCTTCACTGTCTGCTAAACCAGAAGTGACTTTCTTTGAAGGATATTCCAGGCAAGATAATATTGATGTTCCTCAGGGACTAGCAATAGTTGCCATTAGACCTATTACCAGACTCAAGGCAAAACATCCTCCCAGAGGAGCAGGAGAAAGTGTACTCCATGAGGAGGTATGCTACACTACTAAAAGGCTTAATGATTTTTCTAATTAATTCTATCATAAATCTAGGGAATATTGTGGGTGTAGCTGGACCCTAATTAGTCTTAATAATAAAACCCTGAAGTCAGAGATCGGTGTAAGTAAAGAAGCTGAAAGATCAGAGAAGTAAAGGAGCAACTACAGTCACCTCTTACCTCTCCAAATCCCTTGACCAAAAAGGGCTGAGCTCCCTTCTTCACTCTGCTTCATCATTTTCACTCTCTTCCCAGCCATGTCACTTTCTGTCTGTTTGTACAGCTTTCCAGACATCTATGGTTAACTAGTGACTAGTTCTACCATTTGATCTCCAGGCAAGCTTTATTTGTCAGAAAATAAACAAAATATCACTACATTTCCCCACTTTTTTCTAAAATAGTAAGAGGTTATTACTAACATAGAAAACGCATATACAATGAGTACAATAACTATATACAGATACTAAACAGGCAAAAATTATATTAATAATGTCTACTACATTAGCATTTGACAAATTCAGAGAAAATACTCCATTATCTACCCAGTTTTGGTGAGTGCAAAATGTACCTAATTCACTTTCATTATGTTTTTTTGTTTGTTTTTGTTTTTTTGAGACAGAGTTTATCAGTGTAATTTTGGTGCCTGTCCTGAATCTTGCTATGTAGACCAGGATGGTCTCCAACTCACAGAGATCCACCTGTCTGTGCCTCCTGAGTGCTGGGATTAAAGGCATGCGCCACCACCACTTGGCCCTAATTCACTTTCTATCCTAACTTGTATTTATCCACCCCAAACTATCTTTTTATGTCTATCAACCTTATACACTTTACACCTCTTACATGAGTGTCTTTTCTGAATTTGTTAACAAGGAAAAGTATAACTATAATTATCAAATCCTTATGTCCTTCAGAGATCTGAGAAGGAAATACTACCTGAGTAAGCAGGAAGTGCAAACAGACAAATTCCAAAAAAATGTAAGAAATGACAGCAACAGTTGGCTACCTGGACAATCATCCAAGTTTCCTCTGTAATGATGGAGAACCCATTTTGGACTAAAAGCCTAGCATATCTGACAAACTTTTCTGTGAAGTAGAATATTCTAAAGGGGTGTCCTAAGATGTCTTGGCAAAGTTTGGCTATCAGTTTCCTTTGTGTCCTGCTTGTACAATTTGGACAACACTGTCAGCAGTGTTTTATTTATTGCCCAGTAGCTAATTTTTGCCACAAAGAAAGTAAACTCCATATAGAGTTTCTTCAATGCCCATCATCTTCTCTGTAGTAGATTGGTGCTGTCAGGAGCAAACATGACTCATTGTAATAAAAGAAAGTACCTATGTTATTATACATCTTAAAGGCCATATTCTGTAGATATCTGAAGTGTTTGAAGACCATTTGTCTACGTAAAATATATTTTTGTTTGACCTTGAAAACATACCTAATATGACTACAAGTTTACTTAAAGTAGGTGACTACTAATCTGCATTTCTTTATTATCCTAAATGTTTTATTATAATAACTTTCAACAACTAGAAATTTGCATTACATTGTTAAAGGTACTGTATAAGTACAAAATCTGGAACAAAATTAGAAATGTATGTGCAGTATATTTTAACCAAAATAACCTTAAATTTGTATCAATATACAAAAATCCATATGAATGTAAAATATTTATAACTATTACTTGCTTTTTTGGTTTAAGAGTAGATTCAATAATCTACTTTTCCCCCTATAATTTCTTTCACATACATACAATATAAGAAAAATAACCACACTTTTGTATCAATATACAAAAATCCAAGCCAAGGTAAAATATTTAAAACTAGTAGTTGCATATAAAGGCAGACCTATCAAAATTTCATCTGACTTCTCAATGGAAACTCTGAAAGCCAGAAGGTCCTGGAATGACGTTCTGCAGATACTAAGAGATCATGGATGTCAGCCCAGACTACCATACCCAGCAAAGTTTTCAATCACTGTAGATGGAGAAAACAAGGTATTTCATGACAAAACCAGATTTAAACATTACATATCCACAAACGCAGCCCTACAGAAAGTACTAGAAGGATAATTCCAACCCAATGAAGCTAGCTGCAACCACCAAAACACAGGCAACAGATAGCCTGACACCAACAAATCCCAAAGAAGGTAAACACACACACACACACACACACACACACACACACACACACACACACACACAACCACCAAAAGATAATAGGAATTAGCAATCACTGGTCATTAATATACATTAATATCAATGGACTCAATCTGCCTATAAAAAGACACAGGCTGACAGAATGGATACGAAAACAGAATCCATCCTTCTACTGCATACAAGAAACACAACTTAACCTCAAAGACAGACATTATCTCAAAGTAAATGGTTGGAAAAAGACTTTCCAATCAAATGTACCTAAGAAACAAGCTGGTGTCACTATCCTATTATCTAATAAAATAGACTTCCAACTAAAATCAATCAAAAGAGATGAAGAAGGGCATTTCATATTCATCACAGGAAAAATCTGTCAAGATGAAGTCTCAATTCTGAACATCTATACCTCAAATACAAGGGCATCCACATTTGTAAAAGAAACATTACTAAAGCTCAAATGACACATCAAACCCCACAAATAATAGTGGGAGTCTTCAACACCCCTCTTTCACCACTGGACAGGTCTGCCAGACAGAAACTTAAAAGAAATAAGTGAACTAACAGATGTTATGACTCAAATGGAACTAACAGACATCTATAGAACATTTCACCCAGACACAAAATAATATATGTAGTTGGAAGTTTTTCTGTGTCCCACCTGGCCCACAGTCAGGACAAATCTCTCACCCACAGTCCTGCAGCCTTTTATAAAATAATTACTCAGAAGCTTATATCAATTATAACTGGCCATTAGATCAGGCTTATTACTGACTAGCTCTTACAATTAAATTAACCCATAATTCTTAATTATGTTTAGCCACATGGCTTGATACCTTTTCTCAGTTCTGCCTGAACATTTTGCTTCCTCTGTGTCTAGCTTGTAACCCTTACTCAGCCTTCCTCTTCCCAGAATTCTCCTTATCTGTTTATCCCATCTATACTTCCTGCCTGGCTACTGGCCAATCAGCATTTTATTTATTAACCAATCAGAGCAACACATATTCACAGCATACAAAACATCCCACAGCAAATATACATTCTTTTCAGCAACCCCATGGAACTTTCTCTAACATTGACCACACACACAAATCTCAAGAGATATAAAAAAATTGAATAACTCCCTGTATCTTATCAGACCACCATGGCTTAAAGCTAGAATTCAACAACAACACAAAATGCAGAAATCCTGCAAACTCATGAAAACTGAACAATGCTCAACTGAATAGCCACTGGGTTGAGGAAGAAATAAAGAAAGAAATTAAAAACCTTCTAGAATTAAACAAACATGAAGGCACAACATACCCAAACTTATGGGACACTATGAAAGCAGTGCTAAGAGGAAAGTTCATAGTATTAAATGCCTACATAAAGAAGTTGGAGAAATCTCACACTAGCAACTTAACACCAGAAATCTCTAGAACAAAAAGAAGCAAACTCACCCAGGAGGAGTATATGGCAGGAAATAATTAAATTGAGGGCTGAAATCAATAAAATAGAAACAAAGAGAATAATACAAAGAATCTATGACACAAAGAGTTGGTTCTTTGAGAAAATCAACAAGATAGACAAACTAACCAAAAGGCAGAGAGAATATCCAAATTAACAGAATCAGAAATGGAAAGGAGGATATAATAAGAGACACTGAGGAAATCCAGAGAATCATTAGGTCATACTTCAAAAACCTGTACTCCACAAAATTGGAAAACATAGAAGAAAAGGATAATTTTTTGGATAGGTACCACAAACCAAAATTAAATTAAGATCAGATAAACAATTTAAATAGACCTATAATCCATAAGGAAATAGAAAGAGTCATCAAAAGTCTCCCAACCAAATAAAGCCCAGGGCCAGATGGTTTCACCACAGAATTCTACCAGAATTTCAAAGAAGAGCTAATACCAATAATCTTGAAATTGTTCCAAACAATAGAAACAAAAGGAACATCGCCAAACCCTTTTTATGAGGCTACA